TCCACTAACCTTTGCAACTTTTCTTTAGAATTCCCATAAGCACAGTATCATCAGCAAAAAGTAACTGTTTTCAATTCCCATTTTGAATTTGATTCCCCAAAATTTAATCCCACCCCTCTCCCGAACACCCTAGCATTTACTTCCTTTACAACCTCATCTATAAATATATTAAACAACCATGGAGACATTACACTCCCTGTACCAAGACCTACTTTTACCAGGAAGTAGTCTCCCTCTCTTCTACACACCCTAACCTGAGCCCACTATCCTCATAAAAACTCTTTACAGCATTTTATAACTTACCACCTATTCCATATACTTGAAATCTGCCACATTGCTCCTCTAATCCACTCTATCATATGCCTTTTCTAAATCCATAAATGCAATAAAAACTTCCCTTACCTTTAACTAAATACTGTTCACATATATGCTTTAAAGTAAACACTTGATCTAACATCCCCTACCCACTCTGAAACCTCCTTGCTCATCCGCAATCCTACATTCTGTCTTACCTCTATTTCTTTCAATAATAACCCTACCGTACACTTTTCCTGGTATATTCAGTAAATTTATTCCTCTATAATTTTTAGTCTTTTTTGTCCCCTTTCCCTTTATATAAAAGGACTATACATGCTCTCCGCCAATCCCTAGGTACCTTCGCCTCTTTCATACATTTATTAAACAAAAGTACCAACCACTCCAACACTATATCCCCCCTGCTTTTAACATTTCTGTCATGATCCCATCAGTTTCAGCTGCTTTACCCCCTTTCATTTTACGTAATGCCTCACGTACCTCCCCCACACTTACATTCTGCTCTTCTTCACTCCTAAAAGATGGTATACCTCCCTGACCAGTGCATGAAATTACTGCCTCTGTTTCTTCCTTAACATTTAAAAGTTCCTCAAAATATTCTCGCCATCTACCTAATACCTCAATCTCCCCATCTACTAACTCCCCTACTGTACTCTGTTTTTAACTGACAAATCCATACTTTCCCTAGGCTTTCTTAACTTGTTTAACTCACTCCAAAATTTTTTCTTATTTTCATTAAAATTTCTTGACAGTGCCTCTCCCACTCTATCATCTGCTCTCCTTTTGCACTCTCTCACCACTCGCTTTACCTTTCTTTTACTCTCCAAATACTCTGCTCTTCTTATAACACTTGTGCTCTGTAAAAACCTCTCATAAGCTACCTTTTTCTCTTTTATCACACCCTTTACTTCATCATTCCACCAATCACTCCTCTTTCCTCTTGCCCCCACCCTCCTATAACCACAAACTTCTGCCCCACATTCTAATACTGCATTTTTAAAACTATTCCAACCCTCTTCAACCCCCCCACTACTCATCTTTGCACTAGCCCACCTTTCTGCCAATAGTCGCTTATATCTCACCCGAACTTCCTCCTCCCTTAGTTTATACACTTTCACCTCCCTCTTACTTGTTGTTGCCACCTTCCCTCTTTTCCCATCTACCTCTTACTCTAACTGTAGCTACAACTAAATAATGATCCGATATATCAGTTGCCCCTCTATAAACATGTACATCCTGGAGCCTACCCATCAACCTTTATCCACCAATACATAATCTAATAAACTACTTTCATTACGTGCTACATCATACCTTGTATATTTATTTATCCTCTTTTTCATAAAATGTGTATTACTTATTACCAAATCTCTTTCTACACATAGCTCAATTAAAGGCTCCCCATTTACATTTACCCCTGGCACCCCAAATTTACCTACTACTGCCTCCATAACATTTTTACCCACTTTAGCATTGAAATCCCCAACCACCATTACTCTCACACTTGATTCAAAACTCCCCACGTATTCACTCAACATTTCCCCAAATCTCTCTCTCTCCTCTACACTTCTCTCTTCTCTAGGTGCATACACGCTTATTATAACCCACTTTTCACATCCAATCTTTATTTTACTCCACATAATCCTTGAATTAATACATTTATAGTCCCTCTTTTCCTGCCATAGCTTATCCTTCAGCATTATTGCTACTCCTTCTTTAGCTCTAACTCTATTTGAAACCCCTGACCTAATCCCATTTATTCCTCTCCACTGAAACTCTCCCACCCCCTTCAGCTTTGTTTCACTTAAAGCCAGGACATCCAGCTTCTTCTCATTCAAATTGGGGAGGAGGAGTATGGAAGAAGTGAATGTTTTCAGATATTTGGGAGTTGACATATCAGCAGATGGATTTATGAAGGATGAGGTTAATCATAGAATTGATGAGGGAAAAAAGTTGAGTGGTGCGTTGAGGTATATGTGGAGTCAAAAAACATTATCTATGGAGGCAAAGAAGGGAATGTATGAAAGTATAGTGGTATCAACACTCTTATATGGGTGTAAAGCTTGGGTTGTAAATGCTGCAGCGAGGAGGCGGTTGGAGGCAGTGGAGATGTCCTGTCTAAGGGCAATGTGTGGTGTAAATACATATTATGCAGAAAATTTGGAGTGTGGAAATTAGGAGAAGGTGTGGAGCTAGTAAAAGTATTAGTCAGAGGGCTGAAGAGGGGGTTGTTGAGGTGGTTTGGTCATTTAGAGAGAATGAATCAAAGTAGAATGACATGGAGAACATATAAATCTATAGGGGAAGGAAGGCAGGGTAGGGGTCATCCTCAAAAGGGTTGGAGGGAGGGGGTAAAGGAGGTTTTGTGGGCGAGGGGCTTGGACTTCCAGCAAGCAGGCGTGAGCGTGTTAGATAGGAGTGAATAGAGACGAATGGTATTTGGGACCTGACGATCTGTTGGAGTGTGAGCAGGGTAATATTTAGTGAAGGGATTCAGGGAAACCAGTTATTTTATATAGCCGGACTTGAGTCCTGGAAATGGGAAGTACAATGCCTGCACTTTAAAGGAGGGGTTTGGGATATTGGCAGTTTGGAGGGATATATTGTGTATCTTTATATGTATATACTTCTAAACTGTTGTATTCTGGGCACCTCTGCAAAAACAGTGATTATGTGTGAGTGAGGTGAAAGTGTTGAATGATGATGAAAGTATTTTCTTTTTGGGGGTTTTCTTTCTTTTTGGGTCACCCTGCCTCGGTGAGAGACGGCCGACTTGTTAAAAAAAAAAAAATAATAATACATGTACAATAATGTACTATATAATAATTATAATAATAGACAGCTTCAAAAAGGTTATCACTAGATGGCAGTGTTTACCACAATAATGCTGGAGCGGTTATGGCCACCTCCACTTGTCACATAATGACATATTTTATTCATTCTAGAGTATATATCAGATTTTTAAGTTATTTATATTGTTTATTATGTCATATTAAATGAATTTTGCTAGATAAATAAGCCACAGAGTTGATAGCGAAATATTCAAGGAGTATTTTGTCCTGTCTCCAGATAAACTCTCGTCGGCCGCCGACACCACCACATATACAGTGGACCCCCGGTTTACGATCACCTCCCAATGCGACCAATTATGTAAGTGTATTTATGTAAGTGCATTTGTACATGTATGTTTGGGGGTCTGAAATGGACTAATCTAATTCACAATATTCCTTATGGGAACAAATTCGTTCAGTAATGGCACCTGAACATATTTCTGGAATGAAATAATATCGTAAACCGGGGGTCCACTGTATAATGACATATTTTATTCATTCTAGAGTATATATGTATCAGGTTTCTATGTATTTTTTTTTTGTTTTTTTTATATTAAAAAACGTGACGATTGCCCAAGGGAATTGGATATTAGGAAAAACTATCGAAGTATTTTATGGTGCCTGTGTTCCACTAACAGTATTTTAAAATGCCATTTCATGTTTAATTTCATATGAGAAAGACTGTGCAACAAGAAAGCCAGAGAAGATAGTAGGAACATTAATATCGTAAGTATGTTCAGTGCTAACAAAATTTTTTTTGCCTGGCAATTCAAAAGGAGGGGTTTGGGATTTAAATTGTGCAAGATTTGGAGGGATATGTTATATATCATTATATACGCTTCTAAACTGTTGTACCTGGGCGCCTCTGCAAAAACGGTGATTATGTATAAGTGAGGTGAAAGTGTTGAATGATGTTGAAAGTATTTTCTTTTTGGGGATTTTCTTTGTTTTTGGATCACCCTGCCTCGGTGGGAGACTGCCGACTTGTTGAAAAAAAAAATTAGATAAAAAAAAATGAATGTAAGATAAAACTTCTTACTTCACTTAAATACTCCTCAATTGTAAAGGTACAAATCTAATGAAGTGGAAATAAAAGATTATTTGCAAATGATTAATAATAATTACAACATATTCTAACAAAATAAAAAGAGTAAGTTTTGTTCAAAGCAACAGCATATCATCTCTCCTTTTCCATGCGACAGCCAATATCTCTGCTTGTCCATGGGTCTGGTTATCATATCTTATGATTCAGTACATTGAGGTATCCCACCAAAAGTAAAAGCACAAGTTTCAACTTTTAAATTTAGTAATCTTTCTTTCTTTCAACACACCGGCCGTATCCCACCGAGGAGGGGTGGCCTAAAAGGAAAAACGAAAGTTTCTCCTTTTGCATTTAGTAATATATACAGAGGAAGGGGTTACTAGCCCTTGCCCCTGGCATTTTAGTCGCCTCTTACAACACGCATGGCTTATGGAGGAAGAATTTGGTTCCACTTCCCCATGGAGATAAGAGGAAATAAACAAGAACAAGAACTAGAATGAAAATAGAAGAAAACCCAGAGGGGTGTGCATATACTATATGCTTGTACTTGTATGTGTAGTGTGACCTAAGTGTAAGTAAAAGTAGCAAGACGTACCTGAAATCTTGCATGTTTATGAGACAGAAAAAAGACACCAGCAATCCTACCATCATGTAAAACAATTAGAGGTTTCCGTTTTACACTCAATTGGCAGGACGGTAGTACCTCCCTGGGGGGTTGCTGTTTACTAACCTACTACCTAGAATTAACATAATTTATCTTACTATTTGTGATGCCCATCAAAAACTTTTCAAATTTCATGACAGTATGTACATACCTAGCAACTGCTTGAGCCTGTGGAGTGTCACCTTGGCCTCGTCTGCACATCTCTGAGAGTTGCTGAGAAAGACTGTCAACTTCCTCACAGAGTGCCAAAATTCCTATCTGTGCTGGCCCTGTCAGTCCTGATGCAACCTGCAAAAATATTATTAAATTATAACAAATCTCCAGGACAAAATGATGACCACTAAGATGTGAGACAGGAAGATGCTGCAACAAAGACAGACAGAAATGCATGCATGCCAATGGGAGAGCAGAAGGAAAAGTCACAAAATTAGGATAAAAAGATGCATGTACATGAATTACTGTACATAAAAGAGTAGAATATTCTTAAGAGCCTAATAAAAATGCAGTCAAAGAAAAGTGCAAGTAAAATAAAGCTTTAAAGATTTAGGAACAAATTTCAGAGTTAAAGGAAGGAGGGGTATGGGTCCCAGGAATGGCAAGAGAGAGAGAATAGAGGTTTTAAGTGGCAGGAGATTGAGCATCCAACAGGCATGTGTGAGCAAGTTAGATGTTCAGATTGAGTGGACACAAGTGATTTACAGCTGTTATGAGTTTCATAGTAAGCCTAATGATTTTAAGATTTATATAGAGAAATTTACTGGAGAATAACTGGTAAAACTGCATGACAATGAAGAAAGATACTTTTATAGAAATGATTTTTAGATAGAAAGACATTTTCAAATTTTTACTGAATGCAAAAAGATGTAGAAACACTGAATTACATCATTTAGGTTTGTATGTTAGACTGGGTAACAGAATCTTGGCTGTATATCAGAATTTTAATCACTAATATTAACAAATAAAATTTTTTTTTTAGCTAAAATCTTGGTAATTTAAGGAGGCGACAAACCTTTTTTTCAGTGATAAAAAAAAACTGAAATTGAAAAATTATGGAAAACAATGTTTTCTTACCAAAAAACAGTGCATAATTCTGGCAACATGTTGATGGAATCAGCTTGTTTCTATCATATTTCTAAGTGCTTTTCCACAAATGTAATTTTTTGTTCTTGCTATCAGCAAGAGGGTATGTTGGCAATTAGTGTTTTGTTTTTTACTCCAAAAATTATTATTTTTATGGCTGTTTCATTCTAAATACTCTATGTGGCAACTTTTGTGAGGACTAGAGCGAAAAGAGCAGTGAGATTCTCTCTCAGTAGCCTGCAGGCTGTCAACAAGGATGGAGGGGTGCAACATGCTCAGATTTGGCGGGCCATAACCACAGAGTTTTACATAAAACATAATTAGGAATAACTCAGGAATAAGTTATTGGCATTGTTTTCCCTCTCATTCGAAGAGTATTTATAGGAGCATCATGATTTTTTCACATGTTATTGAGGAATGATGGTTCTATTGAATTACACAGAAGGTTTGCGATATATTTTACCATTTTGTTTTTATTCAATTTTTTTCTCCCATAAGAGTTCTTAAAAAAAAAAAACACATTACAACATTTTGTACAGGTTGGCCATCACTAATCCGGCATCACTGGGACCCGTAGTGTGCCGGATTAGCAAGCTTGCCAGATTACAGAGTGGTTAGGTTAGAAAACACTTAATTAACCTATCAGTAGACTCTTTCTGCTGCATCTTTCTCATTTTCATCACTGCTTTCTCCTCCACTGGTTTGCTGCTGTGGATTTACAACCAATTGCACAATTTCCAAGTCAGTATAATGATTTGAGTCAGTATAACGATGAAATTTGAAATTATGGTAACTGAAATTAGTGCTGGATTACTGATGGAACCGGATAACTGATTGCCGGATTAGTGATGGCCAACCTATAATAATGCAATCTATTGACATTTCGCTCAAACGTCTGTGTAATTAGATTACCTAACTCGTTATCTTTCAACTGATGTCGATTAAAACATTGTAAGTCTTACCAATTTTGTAGAAGAAGGATAGATTTGAGCCCTATAGAATAGGGCACCATTTATTTTTTTCTATCTAACTGTAAGGAAAATAGTCACTAAAAACAGTGTCTAGGTTTCAAATGCCACTTAATTCACAGTAAAAATTCCACTGAAATTGAACCAAAAGAAAAAAAAAAGACAAATTGGCTCATCACCCCCTTAACCTTTGGTGATTTGGGTAACAAGGCAACAAGTGAGAATAAAGACACATTTGCTTTGCAATGTGTATTTTTATGCACCTTTGCTCTGCATTTCATGTCTTCATACCCAGGAACCATTTGATGAATATATTCCAAAGCACCACTTACATGTGTTTATTATAATAGAGAGAATTTAGTTAACAACACAAATGATTGGGGAGAAACTTATCTAAAAATATATGGCAAAAATTAAATGAATCGTCATGAATATCACTGAAAACTCCTCAGATATTACTTTCATGATTATAATAGCAGGGTTGTGGAAATATTAAGCATTTATAAAAAACTGACTGACCACAATAAATTATTGTATTAGTAACAAGGCAAAACAGGATATACTATGCAAATTATGTTTAAAAAGTTAGCATTTCAAATATGTGAAAACTATACAGTTCAGTGCTATGGAAAAATAGTTAACTGAAACTTTACCCTTTTGCCTTCTTCCACAATAAGTGCAATAGCCTGTTGTCCAAGTCCTTTATCATCGAGTGAAGGGTTGTTGAGCCAGCGCTGTGCCTGTTCCAATCGTCCAGCAACTGTGTGAGCAGGCTGCTGTACACCACTTCTCTCGACGTTGTTTACTGCTCGGGAAACAGCTCCACCCAACTCATTCAGTTTCTCACCAATGCTTCGTGCCAGACTTTGGCCCTGCAGGTAACAGCATACTATATATACAGTATGTGTATGTCAAAAAACTAAGCATAAGCTAAAAATTAATGACTATAACTTTGTATTATATTGATAATAAAAGTTACTATATTACAGAGATATAACAACAAAAAACAGCTCAATAAATTTTATATAATAATCTAGGTATTGCATATTTATATAAAAAAATACAGTGAACCCTCGGTTATCGGCCATTCTGCTTATTGGCCAACTTGCTTATCGGCCGGTTTTTCGGCTTCCGGTTATCGGCCATTATTTCGCTTATCGGCCGTACTGGACGCTTATCGACCGGCGACGCTCGCGCATTCCTGAGTCAGTGTAGCTGTATCGCTGGCTGAGTAAGGAAGCTTCTGCTCATCCATCCAAACATTTGTCTATAAATCAGTGCATTTCTTTGTTATTTATTAAGTGCAACTGCAAAATAAGTAAGCATGGCCCCAAAGAAAGTTCCTAGTAAAGTTCCTGTGGTAAAGAAAGTGAGAAACATGATGGAATTTAAGAGAGAAGTGATTGAAAAATTTGAGAGTGGTATGCAAGTGTTGGAACTTGCCAGGATGTATGGAAAAAACACATCTACCATCACTTCCATCCTGGCAAAGAAAGAACAAATCAAGAAAGCTGATGTTGCGAAAGGAGTAAATGTGATAACGAAACTAAGGTCACCAATAATGAAAGATATGGAGGGGAGGGGTAAAGGAGGTTTTGTGTGCGAGGGGCTTGGACTTCCAGCGGGCATGCGTGAGCGTGTTTGATAGGAGTGAATGGAGACAAATGGTTTTTAATACTTGACGTGCTGTTGAGTGTGAGAAAAGTAACATTTATGAAGGGATTCAGGGAAACCGGCAGGCCGGACTTGAGTCCTGGAGATAGGAAGTACAGTGCCTGCACTCTGAAGGAGGGGCGTTAATGTTGCAGTTTAAACTGTAGTGTAAAGTACCCTTCTGGCAAGATGGTGATGGAGTGAATGATGGTGAAAGTTTTTCTTTTTCGGGCCACCCTGCCTTGGTGGGAATCGGCCAGTGTGTTAATAATAATAATAAATCAGGGAAAAACAATTAGTGGGAGACAGTGTTGTGGAGTCAGTGATTTGTGAGAAGGCAAAGCAGTTGTATGCAGATCTTGTAAATAAAATGCCTGGAACAAGTGCTGCTGTTATTGAATTTAGGGCCAGCAAAGGCTGGTTTGAGAGATTTAAGAAGCGCAGTGCATACACAGTGTGGTAAGGCATGGAAAGGCTGCAAGTTCTGATAAATATGCGGTTGAAAAATTTGTGCAAAATTTCAAGGGGTACGTAGAGGCTTAAGGATTCCTCCCCTAACAAGTGTTCAATTGTGACGAAACAGGCCTATTTTGGAAGAAAATGCCCAAGAGGACCAACATTATGCAGGAGGAAAAGGTCCTGCCTAGACACAAGCCTATGAAAGACAGGTTTACTCTTTTGTTCAGTGCTAATGCTAGTGGGGATTTCAAAGTGAAGCCTTTACTGGTGTATCACTGAAAATCCCAGAGTATTCAAGAAACACAATGTTTTCAAGAGTAAATTGTATGTGATGTGGAGGGCTAACAATAATGCATGGTTCACAAGGCAAATTTTCAAAGAGTGGGTAAATGATGTGTTTGGCCAGAGTGTGAAAATACCTCCTGGAACATAAATTGCCACTCCAGTGCCTCCTGGTACTGGACAGTGCTCCTGCTCATCCTCCAAACTTGGTAGACCTATTGTCTGTGGAATTTCGTTTCATCACATTGAAGTTCTTGCTTCCTAACACCACTCCTCTCATCCAGCCCATGGACCAGCAGGTCATTTTTAACTTAAAAAAAAAAAAAAACTGTACACCAAAGCAGTGTTTCAAAGGTGCTTTGAAGTGACCTTGGACACAGATTTGACCCTGAGAGAGTTCTGGAGGAATCACTTCAATATCCTCCACTGCATAAGACCCACCTTTACCTGGAAGTAGTCTCCCTCTCTTCTACACACCCTAACCAGAGCCTCACTATCCTCATAAAAACTCTTTACAGCATTTAGTAACTTACTACCTATTCCATATACTTGCAACATCTGCCACATTACTCCCCTATCCACTCTATCATATGCCTTTTCTAAATCCATAAATGCACTGAAAATTTCCCTACATTTATCTGCATACTGTTCACATATATGCTTCATATAGGTAGTAGGTTGGTAAACAGCAACCACCCAGGGAGGTACTACCGTCCTGCCAAGTGAGTGTAAAACGAAAGCCTGTAATTGTTTTACATGATGGTAAGATTGCTGGTGTCCTTTTTTCTGTATCATGAACATGCAAGATTTCAAGTACGTCTTCCTACTTCTACTTACACTTAGGTCACACTACACATACATCTACAAGCATATATACACACACACACACACCTCTGGGTTTTCTTCTATTTTCTTTCTGGTTCTTATTCTTGTTTATTTCCTCTTATCTCCATGGGGAAGTGGAACAGAATTCTTCCTCCGTAAGCCATGCGTGTTGTAAGAGGCGACTAAAATGCCGGGAGCAAGGGGCTAGTAACCCCTTCTCCTGTATATATTACTAAATGTACAAGGAGAAACTTTCGTTTCTCCTTTTAGGCCACCCCACCTCGGTGGAATACGGCCGGAGAGTGGAAAGAAAGAAAGAAAGACTCAGTAAACTTATTCCTCTACAAATTTTACAAACTCTTTTGTCCCCCTTCCCTTTATATAAAGGAATTATACATGCTCTCTGCCAATCCCTAGGTACCTTCCCCTCTTTCATACATTTATTGAACAAAAATACCAACCACTCCAACACTATATCCCCCCTCCCTGCTTTTAACATTTCTGTATGATCCCGTCAGTTCCAGCTGCTTTACCCCCTTTCATTCTACGTAATGCCTCACGCATCTTCCCCACACTCACATCCTGCTCTTCTTCACTCCTAAAAGATGGTATACCTCCCTGGCCAGTGCATAAAATTACTGCCTCCCTTTCTTCATTGACATTTAAAAGTTCCTCAAAATATTCCCACCATCTACCCAATTACTCCATCGCCCCATCTACTAACTCCCCTCCTCTGTTCTTAACTGACAAATCCATTCGTTCCCTAGGCTTTCTTAACTTGTTTATCTCACTCCAAAATTTTTTATTTTCATCAAAATTTCTTGACAGTGCCCCTCCCACTCTATCATCTGCTCTCCTTTTACACTCTCTCACCACTCTCTTCACCTTTCTTTTACACTCCATATACTCTGCTCTTCTTATAACACTTCTGCTTTGTAAAAACTTCTCATAAGCTGCCTTTTTCTCTTTTATCACACCCTTTACTTCATCATTCCACCAATCACCCCTCTTTCCTCCTGCACCCACCCTCCTATAGCCACAAACTTCTGCCCTACATTCTAATGCTGCATTTTTAAAACTATTCCAGCCCTCTTCAACCTCCCATTAATTCTTATGGGAATAATTATTTTGGTTATCGGCTGTTTCAGCTTTAGGCCGGCCTTCTGAAATGGATTACGGCCAATAACCAAGGGTCCACTGTAATAAAAATCAGGTTTATTCATTTTGTCTAATATTCATATAGTAATTACCAACCATTGTGATTATGTCACGGAAGTGCTACATGTGTCTCATGGTCTATTCATCATATGAATGAAGGTTGCTTTCTGTAAATTACATTAACCAAAGCTTTAATAAAATTTTTGCAAAACTTTATGTCTATAGTCCATTAAGTGGATACTCTAACTTTATGGACAATGTGTGATGTATTACTCTGAAAAAATCTGATAATAAAATTTAAGCAGGTACAACAGTTTTTTACCATTTTATTTACAAATGGTTACGAATTTAAAATCTTATTTAAATATGGCTTTTTTTTTTAGTTATTCAATATATTTGTTTTAAAAAGAAGAAAAAGGCACAATACAGTGAAAGAAAGAATTTTATAAAATATGGTTAGGGAGTTATTTTAATTTTTTATAAACCCTATAGGTAAGGTTATGGTTTTCATGTTTTTTTATTAACAAGTATTATGAAAGGGTACAAAGCTTAGTATTATTCTGGGGGTAAAAAAAAAAATTTATGGGTGGTAATTTACAGTATTGCAAGTTAGTAGCAGTGTATCATTAATTTAGTACCTGTGGTGTAGCTCCTTTCCCATCCTGACGCAACTCACACAGAGCATCAGTCATAGAGGAAATATCCCCTGACAATTTTCTGATGGCATCACGATCTGGTGGTAATGATCGCTCTGCAACCTTTCCAGCCTGGGACAATATTTGACGAAGAGATTTTTCTCCGATGCCACCACGCAGAGCAGTTGGATCCTGTTTTCAAAGAAATTCTTTAAAAAGCTAAAAGAAAAAAAAAACACTGGTAACCAGTTCAAAATAATTTAATAAGCCTCCAAGCATTATCTAACGGATTTAAGCCCAATGAGTTTCCAGACCAGGCAATAAAGTATGAAAATGCCAGTATGACAAGGGTCATCGTTTTCTATACAAAAGTTGTCCAGGCACTTCTTGAATCTGTCAGATAAATATTCTGTAAAGACATACTTATGTGCATGCATATTTCTGGCACCTACTGTGTATGAAGAGCAACAATTTGTAGTAGTCAGACTTTGATTTAAAGGACTTCAGAAGTACCTGAGTAAATCTGCTAGATCAGTTGATTCAGAAAGAATGGTGTCATTTAGTAATAGAACTGTCCATTAATGTTACAATCACGACAAAACAATCTCATCTCTATCCACCACAATCCCCATAATAGTCACCCGTTCACTCCTTTTAATCCATTATTTGAGGATTTACTAGAGCTCCATGGAAACAGTGAGCAAACATAAGAGAGGAAGCATAACATGGACAAATCTAAAGCATGAATATATAGCTGTACAATTTTAAATCAAAGTTCTGCCAGTATTAGAAAAAAAAAATGTGTAAGAAGGTAGGAGTACATATGTGGATTTCTTATAAAATAGACAGTGTTGAAATACGTAACAACTAGGAAAATTGAAATACCGTACTGTAGTTTTATTAAGTATCTGTCATAGGACATACCTAACTGTATAATCTTTCTTGCACAGTTTTAATGAAAAATATTAGTTGAGGCTAGTCATCTACACAAATGTTGCACAATTGTACAATGTAATCTCATTTATAGCTCATTTTTTGCTCCTTTTCTACTCATGCATAAAATATTTAAGAGTTATCTCAATCTTATACCTGAAGCCAGTCATGTGCAGCCTGAGCTTTGCCATCAATAGCATTGAAAGCTTTCTTCATAACGGTCAGATTGTCTGCATCCCACTCCTCTTCATCATAAGTCGTAAGTTGCAAAACACGAATAATTTCGTTGATCTCATCTGTCATTCTCCCTGGAAAAAATAAACAATACTGAAAACAACTTTTTTCCTTGTTTCACTGCAAAGGATAAAATAGTGTTTTCTTTTAACTGCACTTTTCTATAACATTCCTTAACCCTTTGACTGTTTTGGTCGTATATATACGTCTTACGAGCCAGTGTTTCAGACGTATATATACTCAATAATTCTAGCGGCTTCAAATCAAGCGGAAGAAAGCTGGTAGGCCCACATGTGAGAGAATGGGTCTGTGTGGTCAGTGTGCACCACATAAAAAAAATCCTGCAGCACACAGTGCATAATGAGAAAAAAAAACTGATCATTTTTTTGGATTAAAACGCCGATTTTGAGGTGTATTTTCGTATAGTATTTATCGATGTATTTGCATTTTCATGGTCTTAGGTGATAAAATGGAAAACATATTACAGAAATAGAGATGATTTTCATTACTTGAACGATGAAAACGACCTTGAAACTGAGCTCAAAGTAGCGGAAATGTTCGATTTTTACCAATGTTCAGGAGCAAACAAATCACACCACATGTCCAATACACGTCAACTGGGGAGTCTAATATTCTTTCACTAGTGCACTGATATTATTTATACCATTTTTACAATAATGCAGTAGTCTGCATAACAGTAAATTTTGTATTTTTTTGTATGAATAAAAAATCAAAATAGAAAGCAATAATAATACAAGAGGGGCCTAGAGATGTGACTAATGAACAGAGAATATGTTATTTTAGTGCCAAGAATGTCTACCTTGTTTATTCTGGACCCTATTTTGAAATTGGCATCTTTTTTAGTTTGTGTGAAATTGGCCAAATTGCCAATTTCTGACCACAATATTGGGTAGTCTAAATTGGTAAATGGGAGGTTTCTTGTACTCAGCTGATACATAAAATGGAGTTCTAAAGAAATAGCTATGAGTTTGGTCAACTGGTACAAGGGAATTGGCTGAAAATAGGGCTCAAAGTCGGCGAAATCGCCGATATGCATATGTCGCTGAGACCGCTAACTTCGCGGGAGCGTAATTCCATGAGTTTTCGACCAAATTTCAAACTTTTGGTGTCATTACCATCGGGAAAAGATTCTCTATCATTTCATAAGAAAAAATAATTTTTTTTTTTTAAATTTAGCAACATAGAATGACAGCTTCAGAAAGGGGCCTGAAACAGTCAAAGGGTTAATAACATTACTTGAAAGGAGTTGCAATATGAAGTCACGAGGCAGAAAGCCATATTTATTAGGGATATAATATCCCATGCTCCATTTCTCCTATGCCTTCTTATTGCAGACTAAAATGTCTCTCCTACCAACTGATTACATTTAGCAAAGGAATTACAATCTATAAGACTTACCAGCCAAATAATTTCTGTTTTCAGCAGCTTCCTCAATACCTTTCCCACCCTGGTGGAAGATCTGGATAAAGATTTTCATAGAACAGATAAGGATGGGAGACAGTGTCTTTACACCCTCCAAACACCGCATCAAGATTTCACGATGAACTTGGTGTGTTAACTCTTGTTGGCGACCATCTACATCACGAGAAACCTGAAGGCACCAGAGTGTAAACCATAGATGAATTAATAGAATAAATAATTATTTTCATCTTAACAGCCATCTCCCACCATGGCAGCGTGACCCAAAGAAGAAAACTAATTTACCACATTTATGCAATCACTCTTTCAAGTGTGCTAACATTACAATTTAATTACCCTACAAATAGAACATTCCTGCCTTTTAGAGTGCAGGCAATGCTCTTCCCACCTCCAGGACTCAAGTCTGGCTAACTGGTTGCCTCTGAATCCCTTCCTAAAAGTTACTGGCTCATATTCCAATGGCATATCCATTAAAAAAAAAAACTTGTTTCCATTCACTCTTATCTAACATGCCCACACATGCTTGCTGGATGCTCAAATCCCTAAAACTCAAAGCTTCTTTTGTCCTCTCACTCCAACAGTTCCTGGGCAACCTCTACCCCATACTACCTTCCATCCTCAACTTATTCCTTCTCCATCCTCTTACATGCATAAACCACCTTAACAACCCCTTCTCAACCCTGTGAATTATACTTCACACGGCCTTTTAATTTCTATGCTCTGAATTTTTTTCGTAATATTCAGGAGCATAACATCCCCACTGCATCTAGCTTCTGTTTTGCTTCAGGATTCAAAACTCATGCCTTGCATCCATATACAACTGTTGGTTATCACTATACTCTGGTACATTCCCTGTTTTGCCTCCACAGATAAATTTCTTTCTTTAAACAGATGCCATAGCACACCCACCTTTTCCTCCCTTCATCTACTCTATGGTTCACCTCATTCTTCACAGACCCATCTGCTGACATGTCCAATCCCAAATATCTTAACCCTTTGACTATCGCGACCGTATATATACGTCTTACGAGGTACCATGTTTGACGTATATATACTCATAAATTCTAGCGGCTTCAAATCAAGCAGGAGAAAGCTGGTAGGCCCACATGTGAGAGAATGGGTCTGTGTGGTCAGTGTGCACCATATAAAAAAAATCCTGGAGCACGCAGTGCATAATGAGAAAAAAAAAACTCCGACCGTTTTTTTTAATTAAAATGCCGACTTTGTGCTCTATTTTCGTATAGTATTTATGGTTGTATTCTCGTTTTCTTGGTCTCATTTGATAGAATGGAAAACATATTATAGAAATAGAGCTGATTTTGATTGATTTTACTATAAAAAGAACCTAGAAATGGAGCTCAAAGTAGGGGAAATGTTTGATTTTTGCCAATGTTCAAAAGTAAACAAATGATGCCATTGTCCAATAAATGTCCAACTAGCCATTCTAATATGCAGTCATGAATGGGTTGATGTTATTTATACAATTATTACAGTATTTAGATAAGGCTAAAGAGGTCTTTGTGGCATTTATGGATTTGGAAAAGGCGTATGACAGGGTGGATAGGGGGGCAATGTGGCAGATGTTGCAAGTGTATGGTGTAGGAGGTAGGTTACTGAAAGCAGTGAAGAGTTTTTACGAGGATAGTGAGGCTCAAGTTAGAGTATGTAGGAAAGAGGGAAATTTTTTCCCAGTAAAAGTAGGCCTTAGACAGGGATGTGTGATGTCACCGTGGTTGTTTAATATATTTATAGATGGGGTTGTAAGAGAAGTAAATGCGAGGGTCTTGGCAAGAGGCGTGGAGTTAAAGATAAAGAATCACACACAAAGTGGGAGTTGTCACAGCTGCTCTTTGCTGATGACACTGTGCTCTTGGGAGATTCTGAAGAGAAGTTGCAGAGATTGGTGGATGAATTTGGTAGGGTGTGCAAAAGAAGAAAATTAAAGGTGAATACAGGAAAGAGTAAGGTTATGAGGATAACAAAAAGATTAGGTGATGAAAGATTGAATATCAGATTGGAGGGAGAGAGTATGGAGGAGGTGAACGTATTCAGATATTTGGGAGTGGACGTGTCAGCGGATGGGTCTATGAAAGATGAGGTGAATCATAGAATTGATGAGGGAAAAAGAGTGAGTGGTGCACTTAGGAGTCTGTGGAGACAAAGAACTTTGTCCTTGGAGGCAAAGAGGGGAATGTATGAGAGTATAGTTTTACCAACGCTCTTGTATGGGTGTGAAGCGTGGGTGATGAATGTTGCAGCGAGGAGAAGGCTGGAGGCAGTGGAGATGTCATGTCTGAGGGCAATGTGTGGTGTGAATATAATGCAGAGAATTCGTAGTTTGGAAGTTAGGAGGAGGTGCGGGATTACCAAAACTGTTGTCCAGAGGGCTGAGGAAGGGTTGTTGAGGTGGTTCGGACATGTAGAGAGAATGGAGCGAAACAGAATGACTTCAAGAGTGTATCAGTCTGTAGTGGAAGAAGGCGGGGTAGGGGTCGGCCTAGGAAGGGTTGGAGGGAGGGGGTAAAGGAGGTTTTGTGTGCAAGGGGCTTGGACTTCCAGCAGGCATGCGTGAGCGTGTTTGATAGGAGTGAATGGAGACAAATGGTTTTTAATACTTGACGTGCTGTTGGAGTGTGAGCAAAGTAACATTTATGAAGGGATTCAGGGAAACTGGCAGGCCGGACTTGAGTCCTGGAGATGGGAAGTACAGTGCCTGCACTCTGAAGGGAGGGTGTTAATGTTGCAGTTTAAAAACTGTAGTGTAAAGCACCCTTCTGGCAAGACAGTGATGGAGTGAATGATGGTGAAAGTTTTTCTTTTTCGGGCCACCCTGCCTTGGTGGGAATCGGCCGGTGTGATAATAAAAAAAAAAAAAAAAAAAAAAAATTACAGTATTGCAGTAGTCTGCATAATAGTAAGTCTTCTATTTTTTGTTTGAATAAAAATTCAAAATAGAAAGCAAGAGTAATATCAGAGGGGCCTGGAGACATGACTGATGAGCAAAGAAAATGTTATTTTAGAGCCAGGAATGTCTGCATTGTTCATTCTGGACCTTATTTTGAAATTGTCATATTTTTAGTTTTCGTGAAATTGGCCAAATTGCAAATTTCTGACCACATTATTAGGTAGTTTAACTCGGTAAATGGGCAGTTTCTTGTACTCAATCGATAGAAAAAATGGAGTTCTAAAGAAATAGCTATGAGTTTGGGCGACTGGAATAATGGAATTAGCCGAAAATAGGGCTCAAAGTGGGCGAAATAGCTGATTTGTAAACAGCGCCGAGGTCGCTAACTTCGCGAGAGCATAATTCCATCAGTTTTCCATCAAATTTCGTTTTTTTTTTTTTTGGTGTCATTACAATCAGGAAAAGATTCTCTATCATTTCATAAGAAAAAATAATTTTTTTTTTTTAAATTCTGCGACACCAGGAGACACCTCAGGATTGGGGGTTGCGACAGTCAAAGGGTTAAGATGTCCACTTCCTCCATACTCCTTCCTTCTAATCTGATATTCAATCCATCATTGCCTAAACTTTTAATTGCCCTCATCACCTCGCTGTTGTCTACATTTACTTTAAAGTTCTTTCTGTTACATACCCTTGAAAATCTGTCCACCAGCCTTTGAATTTATCTTCAGAATCCTTCAAAAGAACTGTGTCATCAGCAAAGAGCAACTGTGATAATTTCATGTTTACATCAGAACCAGCATTTAAACTCACACCTCTTCCCAATACTATAGCATTCCCTTCTTTTACAAACCCATCTACAAATATATGGAACTATCATGCATTCCTGTCTAAGTCCTACTTTCACTGAGATATAATTGCCATTCCTCCTACATACCCTCACCTGAGCCTCATGCTATACATAAAAATTCTTAACTGCTTTTGGCAACCTACCTCCTATTCCATCTATCTGCAACATCTAACACATGGCTTCCCTATCTGCATAGCTTACCTATCCACCTTTTCTTAGTCCAAACAACTCTTTACCACTATCTAAGTACCGCTCACTTGTATGCTCCATTGCAAACACTCGATCCACACATCCCATATTCTTCTTAAATAATCCCTGCTCCTCTGAAATCCTATTTCCCGTCTTACCCTTAACCTTTTCAATAATAATTCTACCATAAACTTTACCTGGTATCCTCAACAAGAACAAATTATCCCCCTATAATTCTTACAATCTCACTTGTCTCCTTTTCTCTTATACAAGGAAACTATGTATGTCCCATTTACAACTGTTTCACTCACTTCAAGAATAATTCTCACTTGCTTCAAAGCTCCCTTAAGATTCATTTAATATCTTCCAAAATTAATCTATCAATATCTATCTATCTATCTATCTATATATATTATATATTATATATATATATATATATATATATATATATATAAAATTTATATATATATATAATATATATATAATATATATTATATACATTTTATTTTTTTTTTTTTTCAACAAGTCGGCCGTCTCCCCCCGAGGCAGGGTGACCCAAAAAAGAAAGAAATCCCCAAAAAGAAAATACTTCCATCATCATTCAACACTTTCACCACACTCACACACTATCACTGCTTTGCAGAGGTGCCCCGAATACAACAGCTTAAAGCACATACATATAAAGATACACAACATATCCCCCAAACCGCCAATATCCCAAACCCACTCCTCCAAAGTGCAGGCATTGTACTTCCCATTTTCCCGGATCAAGTCCGCTATATGAAAATAACCGGTTTTCCCTGAATCCCTTCACTAAATATTACCCTGCTCACACTCCAACAGATGTCAGGTCCCAAGTACCATTCGTCTCCATTCACTCCTATCTAACAACTCACGCACGCTTGCTGGAAGTCCAAGCCCTTTCCCACAAAACCTCCTTTAAACCCCCTCTCTCCAACCCTTTCGAGGACGACCCCTACCCCTCCTTCCTTCCCCTATAGATTTATATGCTTTCCTTGTCATTCTACTTTGATCCATTCTCTCTAAATGACCAAACCACCTCAACAACCCCTCTTCTGCCCTCTGACTAATACTTTTATTAACTCCACACCTTCTCCTAATTTCCACACTCCGAATTTTCTGCATAATATTTACACCACACATTGCCCTTAAACAGGACAATGTAGACAATGGTAGACAGCAACCGCCCAGGGAGGTACTACCGTCCTGCTAAGTGAATGTAAA